TTGGTGTACATATAATGAACACCAAAAATATGTTTTGATTGAACATATAATTTGAATAATTAAAAAATAGGACAGTACTAAAATCATACAACACTGAGAGCGTACATTAATAAAAACATAGAAAACCCTAAAGCAACTTTTTATGTCCATAGCACAGTTCACTTCTTGGACTTTTATTTTTTTCCTTTAAATTCCCATCTCTAAAACACATGTGTAGGATCAGACATTTCCTTGGGAAAAGGATACTATAAAAAAAATAAAATATGTATTTATATGTGTGTGTGTGTGTATATATATATATATATATGCAGCCCAACAGAAATAGACAGAGTAATGAATTAGTTTGGCTACAGGAACAGTAAAAGTTTTATGTTTCCTAAAATAGCTCAGTGAAACATAAATAACAAAATGGCACCTCTCTCTATGGCTAATCAGTGTTTAACTCTCCTCAGTGTTTTATGGTGGAGTTTGTGTGACCAACTTTGTTCTGCTGTTTCCCTAAACTTGAACCAGGTGGGAATTTATGTAAACGTGGTGGAGCAAGAACAATCTTTGAGCATCTGGAAAGTCTGGCTCACTGTGGGTGATGCCAGAAAACCACCAAAGTTAATTCATTTTTCATCATCTTATAAATTGAATTACTGTGAGAGAGCCAGAGGGTGTTTTATAAAGTCCTGATGACTTAATTTCCCCTAAGTATTAGCTTCACGAGAGCACTCGCCTTGGTGCTTCCTCTCCTCATCCTGCCGTCCCCTGGGATGCCACACGCCGATGTCAGGACAGTGCTGGGGTGGCTTTGGGAGTCACAGTTCTCGGGAGGTCCCCACTGGGGACCGGGTTGGCTTCTCCTGGAGAACCGCCCCAGGGCTGCGTGTCTGAGCATCCCCCGCATGCCGCTGTCCCCTGCTGACCGCTGCCATCCATCCCATTCCGGCCGTGCCCGGGGGACACGCTGGCTCTGCTGGAGAACACACTGCACGTCCCGCAGCCACCGGGATGCTCCAGACCGTGGGGCCCAGAATTTTATTGTCACCAGGTAAACAAAGCTGCTCCTGTGTTTATTATTTATGGTGTTTCTTCATAAGGTTTAACAGCATGACGTGCGTTCCTGAGCCACTGGTGAACCTTGGCTCACAGACCCGACTTTTCCAATTTAAATCAAGTGTGCCGGCCCACACACGGTAGTGAAGAGGCATCCCAAGGCAGGGAGCACCAGGTCCGGCAGCATGAATTCACCTGTCCCGCTTAAACAATTATTTGCTTTCCAGCAGGAATTACTCCGGCACTCCTGGTTGCTCCACACAGCTTGTCCGGCTGCCCCTGCCCCTCGCCGAAAACCTCCCCCAAACCTCCCATTTCCCCGCCAGAGGCACAAAGGGTTAACGATCTCCTGCTGCCCAAAAGCATCGCTCCTCCACCATCACGGCCCCTCAGAATCTGTACAAAGGGCCTGATTTAATCCGGGTTGCAGACGACTCACATTGTACTCGCAGCCTCGGAGTGATGTCGGGTGATCAGGTTTCCAACTAATATCCAAGGCACAGCCCGAGCACTGAGCGGGAACAAAGGCACCTTTGTTACTGAAGAAAAAAAAATCCCCTGAAGATATTAGCAGTGCAGTAGAGTTCAAACTGTTAAATGATTCAAATATTATTTAATGAATACATTTGAAATGAGGTCTCACAACCCAGAACACTTTTTAGATCATCATTTACAAAGAGCCGCCTCTTCGCTTACTTCTTTATGAAGTTGCTGCTTTCAGATTTCAATTATGGTCATTTTGCTTCCAGCCTTTTTCAGGGACTTCCCATGTTGGTGTAGCTCAGTTCTTTTTATGGTACAGTTTAGCCAGTGACTACTGGGTTTTTCAGAAGTCCTGATAATCACATTCCTTTAATTTACCTTGGACTGTGTTTCTGTGTGAGAAACAGGGAGACAGAGCCTTTTGCAAAAGAAGCAACAGCATCAGGTGTTGTTCTAGAGGGTGCTAAAGCCAAGTTTATAAAACAGAAATTTGGTAAATAAGCATATCAAGATTTTAGCTGGGATTGGAAAAGCTCTATAGTTCAGGTTCAACAAATACTTCTAATATCTTGTGTGTCTTGGATATGCAATTCTAAATCAGAAAGCCATGTAATTTTAGAGAGAAAAATTAAAGAATAAAGGTAGATGGAGTTCAGGAAAGAAACAATGTCTCCAACTTGAGGAATAAAGTTTTAAAATTAAATTAGGGCTTACTGTTCTTATAGCAATGAGAAGTCCATGGCTGCTCTGAAGCACAGACAGCAGATACTGTCCCTAAAGGGTAACAGCAGCACAGCTGGGGCTGTGCTGGTGCCTGCTGAGAGGTTTTTAAAAAATACAGCTTAAGTAGCAAAAATGGCCAAAGGAGCACCAGAACAGAGTGACTGCAAGTATCAGAACAAGTACCAGCATACCAGCAAAAAAAAAAGGCACAGGGCAGTGGCAGAAATACGTCCAGACACTGTCTTCAGGAGCACTGCAAAGAAACCACATCCCCTCACACCAGGCACCCTCCTGGCTCTACTGCCAGGGCTGGGACCTCAAATAGCCCCTGCTGAGGAGACAGGGACAGCAATGCAGGATTTCACTTAACTCACATTAAGGGTCCTCATTCAGGTGATGCCTCAGGTAGAAGCAATTGAAAATCTGCCTCCTAAATCAGGGCTTGACACATTATCATTATAATCTTTGAAGCTCCTGTGCATGCCAGAACATTGTTTGTGGTAGGGTTTGCACACTGAATTCTGCCCACAGCAGGCAACAAGGAGAAGAGGAGGCTCCCAGGAATGGAATGTCTGCAGCCATCACTCTGGATAATCTCTGCTTCCTGACAATTATATGCTCTTGATTAAATTTCATTTTCCATATCAATTCAAGCAAGTAGAAAGTCTTTCATTAAAAATCACGAAACTTCAAAGAAAATCTTTTCCCAATGACTTTATCAAGACACAATTCAATGGAGAAGACTCTTGAATTGTATCAACTGAATAAAAACCACAGCAACAGCCTTGTACCTCAGATTTTGCCATAAAACCACAGCACATTTCAAGGACATGATGTAGCTCCTAAACACGGCTGAATTGACTGAGGCTCGGAAATGCAGACTAAATTGTCTTATGGGACATTTTCAGACTGCTCAGAGTATTTAGAAAGGCCTGAGAGTGGAAAATCCCAGGAGACCCAAAATCTCAGCAGATTTTTTCCCCTGACATTTCTCAGTCTACATGTAAAGGTAAAAGACAGAAATCATTCTCCTTCCTCTTCAGTGATTAAAAATCCTCAAGAAAAAAAGCAAATTCCTTGCATATCCCCTTTAGATCACACTTGTGTAAAGCCAAGTGATGGATTTCAAAGGTTACTGCTGGAATATGGTTCACAGCAGTCTATTGCAGTGAGTAACTATCACGTTTACATATCCATTATATCAAAACTACGTTACACTTCCACTGCTTCCTGTTGGTTCACCATCTGGAAGCTAAACAAGCTGGTAGTAAAGACAGAATTCAACTCTGCATTTACCAAAGGAGCCGTACAAGCCTTCATTTGCAGCAGGTGATGGCACAACCTGAGCAGGCAGAGCCCTGCCCCAGAGCCAGCACTGAGGGCAGCTCAGCCACCCCAGGAATGGACCAGCCAGAGAGGGACACCAGAAGCCCCTCAGCACCTCTGGTGCCCCATGGGAGGCACCTCCCACCTGCAGCCCCTCCTCCTGCCCGCTCCCACCTCTGCCAGCCCAGCACAGAGTCCTTCCTGCTCAGGAGCATCTAAGTTCCAGGTGCTACTCAGCCTGGAATCCCAAACCGAACCCAGCCCCAGAGTGCCCAGGTGACAGCAGCCTTTGGGACCCCAAACGCCAGCTCAGGAGCAAAATGCGAGTGCCTGAGATAAGAGACAGAGCTTTTTATCATCAAATTTATTTAATTAAATTTCATTGCCTGCTTTACTTGTCAGTCACACCAGAGACTGCCAAAGGAAACTAAACATTGTACATTCACTACAAGATTCTCTCAAATTTTCACAACTAGTCCAAACCCATGGAAGTCACAGATCCTCTTTCCCTCTGCGTTGCAACACATTAACAATGGCAGGACATGAACTCCAGCACTGAGGAGGAGACCTGAGACCTTGGGTTTCAGGGGTACTTTCAAACTGTGTGTGTGCCATTCTCTGCATTTACCAACCCAACCTCCTGGTGGTACAGGACAAATAACCACTGAACTAACCCAGAAAGGAAACCAAACACGTTACTGTGGGGCTGGAGGGTGGGGGAGTGCAGCACTCAGCCGAGGCACCGGTGCTGGGCAGGTGTGGCAGTGCCAGTGACACCAGGACAAGGTGCACGGCACACCTGGCCCGTGCTGCCAGTGCAGGAATGTTTTGTCACTGATGGTAACAGAAATCAGATCCCTCCTAGGAAGTCAGGCAAGGTTTGCCCTGCCAAGGGTGCTGGGAGGAAACCAGGCATTAACAGATCTTTATCTAACTAGTGCTTTTAAAAATAATTTTTCTTTGATCTAACAAGCATTAGGATAATGTCCCCCTGTTATGTGCTCTGAATAGTTCCTTAAACATGCTGAACACCTTTTCCCTATGGAGTTTTTGTTATCCCAGGGGCTCTCACACATCAGCCTCTCACAGACAGCAGGGAAACATGTCAGGGGCTACAACTGAAAATGTCATCATATCTGAAAGTCTACATCTCCCAAAGTGTATTTCCAACATTAAAACAGCTAAAATCACAATTTTAATCCATTGCTGTGTGTGAAATCCAGAATGCTTGCATGGCTTCCAAAGGGAAGCTCTGGAAAACAGCCACTGCACTGGCAGGAGTATTTCTGGAGGGAAGGGCTAACCCTGTCCTCACTGCCCAACCTAAGATACACTGGAAAATGCTCTACAGGTACTGTAGTGTATTTGTCTAAAAAGTAGCTTCTGGAAAATTTCAAGTTGCAAATTACTTTATAAATCACAAGCCATTTTTCCTTAATCTTGCCAATTTTAATGAAGAAAACTGTTAGCATTTCAATGTACAAAAGTCCAATAAAACATGATTTTTTCCTTTTAAATCAGTGAGTGGGTAAAGTTTGGGTTAAACTTATTCAACAGTAAAAGTCTTCCAATTTCCACTAATAGAAATTTTTTTTTTTCTGATTTGACTAGAGGATAATGACAATCCAGAAATAAATAGCTATAAATACATTCATTGTTCCGATTCCAAAAACTCATCACATAGGGAAGACATAAAACTGAAATTAACTTGTTTGAGTGTTCCTTTACAATGAGAGATGGGCAAGTTAGAGCAGAGTGACTTGGACAGGAGAGGAAACAAGTAGGGCAAAAATTGGTCCAGTATTGACATTCATGAACATACCAGTTAGCAAAATTCATCCTTTAAATGACACTACTCAGTTGATTTTTTATTTGCTTGGGGTATACATAATGAAAGCAGTTTCCTTGGGATCTTTGCTAGGACAGGTATAGCACCCGGAGACACTGTAACCACCCCTTCTGTCTGCATGTGTGTGTGTGTAGTTATATACAGAGTCATGCACCCACACACACAGCCAAGATCCGGCACCGGCGTCCGTCCGGCGTCACTCGTCATTGGCAGCACTCGTTCCTCTCACTTGGCCTTGGTTACGCAGCTGTGGAGAGAGGAAGAGAAATTTCTGCATTAGCAGCTTCTCCAGACAGAGCTCCAAACAGGCAGGGAGATTATCTCCAGGGAAAAGCAGGACAGGGCCTCAGAACACCACCAAAGCAATGCCAGCTCCTGAGGGAATCTCTGGGAGCTGCCCTTGGGTAGGACCTGCCCCCAGGGGTGGGAGCAGCTCCCTGCAATGGGGAGCCCGCACACAGCAGCGGGATTGGCACCCTCGGGCTGGGATGTTACAGTCCCTGTGAGGAACAGCAGCCCTTTAACTCCTGTAACTCCTGGAGAAGCTGCTCCCGCACCAACAGCTCTGACACGCTTCAGTGTCTATAAAGACTGGGTGGAACTGGATTTCAAGAACTGAACGTGTTTGGAAGGTGATGCTCCACAGCCTCCCTAAGTGACACGGACCAAGGCCACAGATCACTTTGCTACTGCGTGTGCAGCGAAGCGATGCTGGCGTGTCTGCTGCCCAGAAGGGGAGGGCGCCAGGGCCACAGCAGCACATCCCACACCTCGGGTGCCTGCACTGGGTGAGCAGCAGGCACCAGGGCAGGTGGCCAACGCTGCAGCAATCTGCTCCCAGCCTTAGTGCCTGCATCAGCGCCCATCCGGTGTGTCCTGGGCACCGTGGGTCAGTCCCACCTGCTGGTCACCGCACCGAGCAGGAGGAAGGTAAGGCCCACATGGGTCATGTGGACATTAAGATGATTTCTGCTAACAATTCCCATCCAAAAGAACATTAATCCCTCTCCTCCTTTTCCATCCAGCAGTTGACTTACACAGCTTGCTTTGCCTCAGAACCTACAGAGAACTCCTCTAGACGTCCGCAGCCAAAGTGCCTCGAACGGAACCCTTCTTACGCATCTGAAGTGAAATAAAACGTGAGCTCCACACACAGAACCTGCCGCGCCGTGGTTAGTATGAGAGAAGGAATGACCTGCAGGGCCAGGATCTGCTTCTCCCTGGCCAGGGCCAGGACCAGCTACAGCTAAGGGGGTTTGGCCATGGCATGGTATTTCTTTTTGGCAAGGAGACCTGGGAACTGGAGAGCAGCCGTAAACAATGGTGCTTGAATTTTTACCAAGCCCGCGATGCTCCAGCATGGAATCACTGCTCAGGATACCCAGTGTGGCATGAGAGAGGTTGGTCACAGGGCTTTGGCTGGACCAGATGCTTTCCTACTCTGCAGTGAACTGATGCATGTTTCATGGAGCAGAGGTGCTTCTCATCTCCAGCAGCCAGAGACAGAATCCACCAAGTGAAACATAAACAGTGAGAAAAAAATGGACTGGGACAGAGGAACTCTGGAAGAACAGTGATGAAGATTCAGAGAGTAAACAGAAAGTAACAAAAGCAGAGATCCTGACTATAAAAATCGACTGAAGATGAAGCACAGGAGCAACAAAAGAACTGGAATGTGCACAGAATCCAGATAAAGATCAGCTGGGAGCAGAAGGAAGAAAGGGTGTTCATGAGAAGGGGAAGAGTACCAGGACACTGTGTGGGAAAGAACATGCACTGCCAGCCCTGCTTTGTGCCTGGTTTGGCTCTCAGCATCACAGAACTGCCTAGGGCAGCCCTGTCCATTCCTGACCACTCTGCAGGGACAGGGGCATCTGTGTCACACTGAGCACATCATCCCTGAGCACTCACTTCCCAGAGGTCCTGGCCATAAAACACTCTTTGTGGCGTACTGGGGATGTAATGGCAGTTACTGGTGAGCACAGTGGATGGAGTAGTTGAATGTGAAACCAGATAACAAATTACTTTAGATAAAACTAGCATTTATATTATTTGGCAGTGACATTTTTGCCCTTAGGTTGTCCAATAACGCACTGCACCACAAAGCCATGGAAATTACATCATTTGCAGGTGTTTGTAGATACCCCTCTTGCAACAATTGAAAAAACCCCAAGACAGCAGGTCCCCACTCCTCTCACATTTCACAATATCCACAGAAATCTGGGTTAGTGTAACATCACACATTAATCTTGTTTTAAAAAAAAAAAATAACCAAAACAACCCAACTTTTTAAAAAATACACAAATTCCTGACACTAACTTCTTACACAGCAAGCTATTTGCAAAAAACAATTTGCCTTTGCAAAATGAGAAAATATTAAGTAAGTACGTTTGATGTTTAAGAATGAGGATAGATGTTACACCCAGAGACAAATGTGAGCTGGGTTTGACTTAAGGTGAGAACTAAAAGAGCAGCAAATATTTTGGAAAAAAAATTTTAAAAGATCTACTTACCAGTGAGAAATGTGAAACAAAACATCCACAGAACACAAAGGAACAATTTCATCATGCACACAGGTGTGTCAGGTTCTGCTGCCTCTCTCTAGCACACCTCTGGTGTGCACTCCTCACTGCCACTACTACCCTTGCTCAGGGAAACTGGATAAAGTCTACTTCAGTCCAAATGAAGAACTATGGATGTGCAAGAGGGAACCCTTCAGGCAAAAATCAGTTTAGAGAGGACAGCTGTTAATGCTTCCTTCCTTCACAGACACCTGGGAACAGGTGGCTCTAGGAACAGGATCAGGCATAAATTAGAATTCATGAAGAAACCCCCTTGATTTGATAGAACAACTGCTAAAAATACCCAAATGCCCGTAAGAGAGCAAAAGATTTGCAGGAGTGAGTGAACACCAACCTTGTCCAAAGTGCATTCTGGGGCTGCTGACCCAAACCCTTCAGCTTATGGGAAAAGAGCATTTGGTGCTACAGCTCAGCACAGGACCAAGAAGAAATACTTCTTCCAAACCCAGGAAACATCCCAACACAGGCTGTTCCACACTGTTTGGAAAGTCCCTGGAGAACATGAGTGGGGAGGGAGGAGCTGCAGCTGGTTTGGTACCAACAGCAAAGATGCACCAGGCACAGACCACAGAATGTGTCCACAGCTGGTCTGAAGCCTCAGGCAACCAGATTAGAGGTGTCTGGAATGGGTCAAACCATGCAAACAGCAAGTTGTAGCTGAAGACACATTGTGCCTTGGAAAAACCAAGACACTGGAACTGTCTGGGTAACCTGAGTGGGTTTGGGGCATGAAGCAATTGTCAAAATGGGAAGGAAATACAACTGCAAATCCAAGAACTGCAAAAAAGCTGCAAAATGCCAGTGGGATTTAACATGGGAAAAGTTCATGTCAAAGGCCATGTTCTGGAAAGACTCTACAGAAGAAGGCATCCTTCCTAGCCTATGGTGGTCCTCTACTTCTGAATGGAAAGAGCAGTGACAGTGCTCTGAATTTTCTCTCAGACATCAGCCCATGATACATCAGGCCACACAGATCTGGTCCTCACAGCCACTGAAGCAGGAAAACTGACACAGTCTCAGCTGATTTTACTGACTTTCTTTTTGGAAGTAAAACTTTGGTTTGGTGTGCTAATCAGAAGTGGAACAGCTGACAGGTGACACAAACTTGCTCAAAAACATGCTTGAAGAGAAAAAGTAATCAGATCTAGTGATGACTAGAAACGAAACAAAGCAAGACATGTGATGGAACAGGACAGAGACAGCTTTGAGCTCCAACCACCAAGTGACAAAAGGGCCCTGAATGGGACTTTGTGCAATGGATGTGGTGCCATAAACACAGAGGTAGTCAGGACAGACATCCTGCATCTAATGACATCAGAGGTACTCACATTACAGCCACTTCCAGCATGACAGCTCCGAATGCAGGAGCTTGAAGCACATGGGGCTGTACCCAAGGGGCCACAGTGCCCACCAGCAATTGCCCAAACACACACACAGGCATGGACATCACACAGCTTGCCTCAGTTTCTGCACAGATAAATCTGTAGCACATCTGAGCCTTAAAAAAAAGCTTTCTTACCGCTTCCAGCTCCTTCTGGGTTTCATCCTCCATTCTCCTGATGTCCTCCATAGTCAGTTCAATCCACTTGTCAATCCAACAGAACAGCTGGCGGTGGAAGTTGGTAAATATCCTTTTTTCTTGCTTTAAGAAAATAAACAAACATTAGATCACAGGTAGGACTTGCTAAAGGCTGGTGAAGTGATAGCAGCTGCTCAGTTTGAAGAGTCAAAATCTTCAAGTGTGTGCTGCTTCACACTGTAACAGATTCAGCCACCTCACACCCCTGGATCCAACTTAAATTCACCTCATTTCTCAAATGCTTTAACATGGAAAAAAATGAACAAATTTCACTGTCAAAAAAAGACTTTCATTAAAGTTCAGCCATTCACATTACTTGAGAATTATGAAGAATGTTATTAAAATCTGCTCCAGCTCCAAGATGGCAGCAGCCAAACCAGAACAGCCACTTCCAGAAGACTTTTTTTCTCTAGAGAATTGTTCTGGTACTACCAGTGAAGCCCCACCTGCAGCAAACCAAGACACAAATGGTTTGACTGGCTGGGGAAATGGACAGGAATACCCTGGCTATGAGGAATAGGAAACTGCACCACTGCCCTTGCTCAAACGCCCACATCAACACAGCCCCAAAAGGCAGAAGTACTCACCTTTTGTATAAAGTTTTCAACTTTGTTCTGCAGTCCCCACCACTTAAATTTGATGGTCACCAATTTGTAAGCACACATTTTGGGACACTCCTCATCAGTTGCTAACTCCTTCTGTTTGGGGTAATAGAAATAAAATTTTATTACTTTAGAAGTATAATTATTAGAAATTATAATTCTAATCAGTGCATTAGAATTATAAATATGATAATTAATTTATAGTAAATTAATTAAACTTAACTATCTTGTTATGATAATAAAATAGAAATCTAAGCATTATTACAGAAAAACAACATTCTAATCAGTAAATTTGGGCTGCTCCTGACAGGCTCCCTGTCATTCACTCCAGGGCAAGCAGTGGGCTGCTCAATTCCTGTGGGACCTCTGGTGTGGCCCACACAGCCCATTCTCTCCTGGGACAGATTCTGATGGCTGGCAGGGGGTACTGGCAAGCTCTGTGCTGCTGCTGGGGTGTCACTGAGGTGGCACATGGGGGATGTGCTGGGCCACAGGAAATTGGTTCCTCAAAAGGAGTTGAGTCAAGTTGTGAAGGAACCATGAACTTCGTTCTTCTGATGATAAAGACTTCGTAAGGCTGGAACAACAGTTCCTAGTACCTTCCAGTTTGGCCCCAGAGGTCCTCTCTTCGTTTTAACTGACTGGAATAATGCAGGATCTTCATCAGCTTTGTAGTCCTGTAACATAAAACACTCTGAGAGTCAGAAAACACCACCAGATTCAATATCCCACTGTGTTAAGCTTCTGCTCATGGCTGCCGAAACGATTCCCTGAGTGCTCTGGAGCAGGGTGGGTGCAGCACAGCTGCCAGGCTCCATCACCCCTGCTCCCAACAGGACAGCTCTCCAGGGCTGCCCTGTGCTGTGCACACTGACCTCTGCACCGTCCCACCGGGTCTGTGACCCCTGAGAGGAGGAGAAGGCATTAATTCAACAAGCAGCACAATAAAGCTGCTCAGGCTGCAACACATGGCCGCTGCTGGGGAGGCAGAACAGGGGGGGAAGAAGGCAGAACAGGGGGAGAAGGCAGAACAGGGGGGAGAAGAAGGCAGAAACAACTCCCTCACACAGTCAGAAACTCTGAGATCCCAGCCTGAGCCAGGGCAGAGCCCACACAGCGCTGCCTCACCGTGGACAGCTCTGCTCGCCCTCTTGCATGAGGGAAAAGCCAATGGATACAGAGTTGAAAGGGACAAATGCTTCCAACAGATGGATTTATTGAATTCTACTGATTAGGGGTATGAAAATGGTTATTTAATAAAGATGCTGCCACGGAAACTAAGAAAGGATTAAAAACTCTGACCTCAGTGAAAGCAAGTAAGGTTTATACTGTGCGTAAAAAACATTTATCCAAGATTACCATTACACCCACACAACACAAATGTAACAATTTAAGTTGCTTCAAAGCAGAACAAAGGCTTGGTAGTTGCCACAGAAAAGCCCAAGTTTAGCAGAGTTTAAGGTCCCATTTTTAAATAAAGTTTCTGTGAAGCCAAAATCTGCAGAACATGGAGTGAAAGAAACACCTCCAAGAGAAGCAGCTCCTGGCTGCTGAAGACCACATCAGCTTTCAGCTCCAGAGGAACAAAGGCTACTTCTAGACTAAATTCTAAATCCACAGAGCAAGGCTACACATATTAACTGTTAATGCTTTCACAGACATTCTGACATTTACAAAAACCTACTGCAAGCCAAATGGAGCTGAAAAATCCAGGAAGTCCTCTCAGAGGAATATGATTTCACTTACAGAACACCAGCTGATACACTTTCTTCTCTTCAGTTTTCTCCATTGTTCCCAGTTCTTTTAACATACCTACCTACACTGCATATTAAAATAGGCTGAAGAAACCCTAATTTATCTAGAATACTAGGTATTCAGGCAAACTTCCATACTGAGGACTCAAACATACACTTTAGGAATTGAGCAGATATTTCACAGAAGCAGCCAAGGGAGTGAAGATATTTCAATCTCATTGCTAATCAGTGTTTCATGAATTTCCACAAACCAGGACTCTCCTCTAGTTCTCCCTCTAAGCTGAAACAAAATTCTAGTTTGAAGAACCCACACAACAGTCAGCCAACCTCAGCAGGGGCTGCCATGGTGCTCCACAAGCCTTCCCCTGCCTCAGATCCTGAGGAACCAGGAACCAGCACTGCACAGCAATACTTAAACATTTAAAGTTTTGAATTATTATAATTACAGAAAGACTACAAGCCATATCTGTCACCTGAATTTTAGTGAAACCCACTTATCTACGATTTTACTGTAATAAAGCACGTGTCCTTTCCACAGACATCACAAAGAGCAAATACACAGCAGCACACAAAATCCTGCCCTGAGTCCCTTCCTGTCCCTTCCCTCACTGAGCACTGAGCCAGAGCCATTGGCTGTGTCTGAGACCAACTTCTCACCTCACAAGTTATTTCCAAATACTGTGGGAGAGGACAGCTGCAACCCACTGGAATCCTCAGGTTCTGCATTGTCCTGGAGGCTCAATGTGATACACTTTTTAAAAATTATTTTTTAACAATCCTTGTGTAGAAAAAGAGTCATCTTCTTTACATTTAAATCACCTTTAATATGCAAATACTACAGCAAAATGTTATTACAGAAATACAGAGAATATTTTAAATTACTGATCATGACTGCCTTTTAAAAATTTCACTCAGCCACTGGATAGAAGACACTGAAGTGAATCAAGCTATAGCAATGGATAAACAAGTTTGCTCTATGTAACTAATTGTTGGCAGAACTGCTGCTGGTTTGGGTCAGCAACGTGCCAAACAGAAACACAAGAATTACACATCTTATTGCCAATTTTATAAATAAAACCAGGTACTGCACTGAGACAACCCTGAATTTATTTCCACTGTGTGAACATCCTGCCAAGGCAGAGCTCACTGTAGTGGTGTGAGGCATGAGGCATTTAACCTGAGCTACATGTGCAGCCTTGATCTGCCTGGTTTATGGAGTGGAATGATTTGTCTGGATAGCCCAGGGACACTCAAGTCCCCACGATGATGCTACCTGCCATCCTACCTCCCACTGCACAGGGACACTGGTAAAAAGCAACTGTGCTCTTGCATTTAGGACCCACATAAAAATAACCACAGCTAGAAACACTGGGGAAGAAACTGTTATCCATGAATAAAATGTAGGAGTGAAAACAGAAATTCCAAGAAAATACATGAGTCATGGGAAAGTTTTCTATGCTAGAGACAGAAGCTTTGATCCAAGACCTTTTAGAATGCAGTTAAGCCAAATCCTGTTAAGGACAGGAAAAAACTCTTTATAGACTAAAGCCTAGATGGACAGGAGAGCATTGCAGGAACTCTTCTCTACACACAAATCCTACAAGCATGCAGGGAAGAAGACTGGACTAGAGCCAAAGTACAAATAAACAACAGTTCTTTGCAGAGTTTAAGGAAAATATCTGTGCAGCAAGAGCTTAACTCCTGACAACAAGTCCTTCTTAGGAAGAAAAACAGGCAGCTGCTGGAGCAAATACTACAGCTCAAACCCCTGAAACCCTCTGGAAAGACAGACAGGCAAACATCAGCCTGCAGCAGCATAACAAGACAGAGGAGCAAAACTATTTCAAAGAAACACACAAATACCATTTCACAAGCAGTTTCTGCTCAAATTCTCAATAATATGCATGAATGCAACCATCTATTATAAAGAATGATTTACAGAGACCGTGAACTACACACAATAAATATCACAACAAACCCAGAACTTGGGCACTTCTTTATAATATAACAGTGCTCCTGAGAGCTCATGATTCACTATCAAATGGTATAAAGATTCAAAGCATATATACAGGACAGAATGATTTTAAGAAAACTTTTAGAACCTAACATGAGAATTACACAAGTCTGATGTCTGATCTGCAAAACCATGAAAATGGAACTGAACATGGAGTGGCATCACACTAACTAGGTAGGTGGGCACAAATTCTGGCTTTCCAGCTCAATACTGTATTAGCCTCTTGTTTTACTCAATACTGTATTACTCTCTTGTTTTAAGCAAGAGAATGTACATACCACTGGTGTTATCAAGCAAAAAACTCACATTCATATCCTGTAGAAAGAAACACCTACCAATACTTCCCTCCAACATCACCCACAGCTCTGTGAGTGCTCACTCACAGCACAACAGGAGACCAAAATCAGGTTTATCCAAGTATGCCATACTCTCAACTCAGTGCAAGATTCCCATAACTGAGTCACCAGCACTACCATGCACTGCCCTGACATGCACTCGTGTGTTTAAGGAAGGTTTAGCTAAATGGCTTTTAATAAAAAATGTCTTGCAATCACTCCCATCTCCTGAAGAGTCCTGCAGCTACAGCACCACTATCAGGAGAACCATTGCCTGAGATCACCTTTGAAAGAATGCCAAGGTTCAAATGAGAATGAAACCAGCCTGGTTATCAGGGATGCACATCGTGCTGCCATGCCCAGAACAAGGAGTTAAAGGTCTCCAGGAATGAGGCTGGAAGAGATGAATATTTATAAACACCCAGGACAGGAGGAAAAGAGGGGCATAAAATTAAAAGCACATCACATTTGTCCACAGATAGGCTGTCCCATGGGATGTGTCATTGCATGGTGATTCCAAGGTTCAGCACAAAAAAGGTGGAGCTGCTTAGCTGCCTATAATGATAAATTAAGTCTGAAATGGGAGAGATCCACCTATCAAGCTCTGTAACTTGAGAATCTTTTAACACTTCCTTACAGACTACAGAAGAGCAATTCCTATATTCCAATATATTTCCTCACGCTGTAAAAAAATGGACAGCACACAGAAGTCCCAGAATTCTTAAGGCATGTGTAATCTGGCTGATTCATATAAAATTGTAATTTTAGAACTTTCTTTCAAGTAATAAAGATCCACTATGACCTAAACAAGACATTTAATGTTTTCATTGTGAAAAATAGCTATAAACCTGATTTCAATTTGTTTTCACTACACTCTACTCTTTTGTAAATTGTTTCCAAAACCACAGCCTCCTCTGATGTTAATCAAGTGTTCATTTTTGCTTACACTTTAAAAAGTCTTTCTCTCCTGGGAAGCCACTTTTATATACAAACAACATAAAGTGACACAGACTGCATGCTGGAGATGATTAAGAGAAAGCAAAGTTAAATGTGTATCTAAAGAAAGTCACAGCTGTCACCCAAACTATTTCTATACATACTGAAATGAGCACGAGTCAGCACATGCACACCATCAGTAGCTTAAAGAAATTTGTATTTTCATATTTATGCTGACTGTAGCTCTGAAACTAAAGTAACTACAACCCCACAGGGGGGTGGACAAGGTTCATTCACAAGAACAAAAGGATGTAACTTGAATACATGAAAACTTTTTCAACACTGCTGGATTTTATAGATGTAGCACCATTCTTTCAATTCTACTGTTACCTGAGCTCATACATTTGAGCTGCTTTTCCAGGTAAAACTATGTTTGAGAAGATAAACGTACAAATAAAACTCTCCTTTGAAAACACTGACTATTCCTTTTCACTAAAAAATGAAGCAGACCAAAAAATCTCACCCAGCCACTTAGAATGGTAATTCCAAAAAAAGCATCATAACAAAAAAAAAATCCAAAACTATACAAAGCACATGATTTCAAACATGACCCCACAGAGTGAACTGGTGATTGCTTGAATATCACAGAACAAAGATAAAGAAACTGCAGGAAAAGAACATCTGGACAAATAGAACACAGGGAAAAGAGGTGATGCTTTTGTTGGGGACATTTGCTTTCCAAGACCAGCAGCCTTCTCTGAAGGCACAAAGCCAGCATGACCATCTTGGTAATTTTGTTATGATGTAGCTGAACTTCCAAGAAAAATAAATAAAATTCAAGTTCCATTACCTAAACTTGATAAAGATATCAGCACAAACAGAAAGTGTCTCTCCTGAATTCCTAAGAAGTGAAGAGAGAGAAGACAAAGGTCAGAAACTGCAGACTTTTGTATCAGAAGAGACTCCAAGTGTCGGTCCAGAGAATTCCTGATGTCTAATTTTAAGGAGAAAACAGGTAAACAGCAAGGATGTCAGTCTGCAAGTAGCTCAGAGTTGCCAGTGTCTGCTAAGAGTTTAATCACAAAGCCAGACTTTGGTTAATGAAGTCAGGACTTAGCAAAACAGAGTTTCTGGGAGATGTAATGGAAACAAAAATTTGCATCACATGGTGAAAATGAATCCAAAGCATTCCTACACAAGAATGGGGTATACTGTGATTTTAAATCTGAAAATACGTGCTCAAAGTATTTGCTAAAAGTGGAAATGGTGTTAGAAGCTAATGAAAAGGAAACATCAGAGGAGGCTTGAGACTCTGGATGAGACTATTCTGCACTCAGTTTTGAGACTCTGTAGGTCAAATATGTGAAAGAAGAAAGAAAAGAGGATAATGTGCTGAAAATAGTTTCAAGGACTTCCTGCAAAGAAGTCCTCTCCCCAAAATGTAGGATATCCAAGTATCTACTTTCAGAAAGTAACAGTTAAACAGTATAAAGAGCCTGACAATCACATTTATTGTGCAAACATGGTCTCCATATGAGTGCCTATCATCTCCCTACTGTCTAAAATGTATTACACATCCAACAGTCCAGCTGTTACAATTTAACAAACCAGACAACAGCCCCAGCAGCCCCAGATCTGCAGAGAGAATCAGCAGTAAAACCGAAGAAGTAAGGCAAGCACATAAATGAATGATTCTGTTCAAGACACTTTTCATGTCTCTGTTGGGTAAAATCCACAGCGTTTTAGCTTATTCACTATCAACACAAAGCACAAGTGGAATCAGCTGCATGCTACACCCCAGACCCAACAGCAGAACATTTACTTACTCCTGGTTCTACTTGAGTTCTATCTGCAATGTCAATATGGACAACCTCAACACTCTTCCATGTGTTTGGATCTAAATTGTGAACCTGCAAAAAAAGAACAAGGAGGAATTATTCCCATGCTGGGAATCACACAGTGATGTGCACATGCAGCACATGTGTGTGCCAGGGAGCTTTTCAGGATGCTGTAGAGGCAGCATTCTCCAAACCTACCCTTTCTCAAAGGGAATGATCTCCACAATTACAGTTTAATTCACTCACTAATCAATTTTAAACCAGCACAAAGCCTTCACTTCTTGTGCATTCAGGAAACCTGGATTTAAGATTAGGCTGTATTCGTCTGTCACATTTGTTAGCACTAATGAAATCAAGCTCTAATTAGAACCATTACCTATTCCATAATCTGCATTAATTTTTCAAGCTAGAAAGAAGGTGCAAAAATTACAGATATGGAAAACACAGATTTCAGTAACCTAACTGATGTCATAGGTTCCCTGAATCATAGGACTGCCTTGAAGGTGGACCAGGTGTAGTCTGAGGGTGTGCAAAGGTCTGAGGATGGAATCAACTCCTCACCTGTGATCTGTCCAGCACACCTAAACTCAGTTACAGCCAGCAGAGCTGTCCAAGAACAATCCCCCTTCTGTGAAGCACATCCAGAGCTACAGCTCACCCAAGCACTGGCAACAGACTGACAACTACTCCTCTCTGGATGGTTTATAAATGTTTATCACTACAGCTCAAAATTTTCCTGAAGTGACACATGAACCAAATTGACTGGAGCAAAACAAGAACATCACTAGTTGGGACAATTTACAGAGGCAGCTTCAATATGTAACTACAGAGTGTTCACAGATTAACTCCAGTGGTCTTCTGAAACCTGTTTTCAAATAAATTTGTCAGCCTAACTCTCAGTAGAATGTCTATGGTGAAAGAACATGAAATAAAAAAATGACTTGCTGAAAAGCTATTTAAGTATTTGCGTGAGAATCAAGCATCTGTATTGACCTCTAAACATAAAAACCAAACCCCTTCTCCTGTCCTTGGATCTCCTCAGATGAGACAGCTTGACCACCTTGCAAAGACCTGAAAAATGCTTTTCTTGCTTTACTCATGGTAAGGCATTTGCTTTATGCAGTAATTATCCACCACCACCAGGTATAAAATACTTCATCTGTACCGATTGTACAATTGCACTAAGGCTTGGTATCCAAAGCCCAACTCACGTTCTCTGTTGTTCCCAAATCTGGTTTATGCCAGGTCTCAATTTTTATGAAGAAGTCATCTTTCATGTATTCATTCTGTAAGAATTAAAAGCAAGAAGCACAATTACACCTCTCTGCTCTAAGTTTAGATACCACTACTAATCCCTGACTAGCAACACAACCTATTGAAATTTCCAGAGAAACAGCCCTCTTACCTTACAGAAATAGGTACATGATAATCTTGATAATCATGAACTAGAGCTGTGAGTACTAAATTAAAACCAGACATGTTTAAGAAATCCAGCTCTACCTGTGCACACCAGTAGAAATAACCCTGCCATTTGCTGTCCTGCTTCCTCAGCCCTGAAGTTCTTTATCTCAATGTTCAAGTAATTTTTCAAATTATTAGTCCTGCAGTTAGATGTCACTGTACAGCACAATTACAATCATAAAGCTGGATCATAATGGTCCAGCTGCCACCAAATTGTACATCTAAAGACAATGAGAGAACCCTGCTGATTCCAGAAGTCAGAGGGCACACACCTGTGTGCACTGATATCAGGATGAGTCAAGCCCAACAGTTCAAACTCACTTGTTACTCCTTGTGTCACATCCACATGGTAACAATCTAAACAGTGTTTGCAAGTGAGCAGATAAAGCAGTTTAACATTTAACTAATAAGTTTTCATTAAACAGGTCACCAAAACATGTAAAACAGCATTAACATCTTAATGATGTGCCTCCCATGCATCATAAAGAAACAAACCCAAATCCTGAGATGATCCATTTAGATTCCCAGCTACCCCATTTTAACTGAGGCAGGAATTCATTTTACAGCAACAGCATTTCAGACAGGCAGGGACTGATGCCATTTCACTGCACTTCCTGCCTTCAGGAGTGTAGGAGCCTCTGATATGTCATTTTTTCCCCTCCCACTTTTTTTAGCATTATGTCTTACAAGGACAGACATTATGCATCTGTAATGGTAATTAAAGGCATAAAAGAAGACGTAGAAAATGAAATAATTTCTCTGACAAATTACAGTTCTAATTATAGCCATGAGCAGACAAATAAAGTAACAGGGAGCTCTGCACCAGGAGTCCTAGCAAGGCACATATGACAGGCTGGAGCCAGACAACTGTAGTGGTAGTAACAGACAAAATATATCCCAAAAAAACCCAATATATGACTGGTAGGATTTCAAATACTCACTGTCACAACTGGTGTTGTTGGAAAACACAATGCAGTGCAATGCAAAGGAAAAGAAAACACAGAGCATTATTAGATACAATTGTTTCTGAAAGGTCTCACATATAAAAACACCAACAAAAGAACACACATGGGGGAGACTCACTTGTTCTACAGTAGGGATACGCATTCCAGGCCTTCTCGTGGAACACCAGGGAGCCTTCTGGAGCAATCATCCTTACAAACCCAGGGACTTTACTGGGGAAACAAACATGGAAAAGGTGTTTAAAATCCCACCAACTGAAATTCCTCATTGGTTCCTTCCACTCCAATAAGAAGGGCACATTCTACCCAAGCATTTGAGGGGTTATGAGGTACCTTGTCACCTGCAGTGAAATACAAAGGAACTTCAAAGACTTTCCAGATCATGACAAGATTAAGAAATAAACAGGAAAGGTAATAATAAGGTAATTGAGCTGTGTGATCACAAGGAAAGCTGTGCTATCCTTCCTCTTGCAGAGCAGCAAAGACACCTGTTGAGGAAGAGCACTGCACAGAGCCCTCACCTCCAGCTCCTTGGCAAGCAGCTCCTGACCTGCAGCAGGAACTTTATGTCCCACTCATCTCTGACTCCTGTCTAGAGCAAGCAAACACAATTCTTTCAGCTGTCTCAGACAACTATCCCACATATTTAAAATCCACTGTATTTCACATTTCCTCACTCACTCACCAGAGCACCCATGAACAATTCAGCAAATTACAAAGTGGCGGGAAAACACAAACAAGTGTCCCAGAACAGCAAACAATGGAAGGCTACCCTCACCTTTAAACATTTCTTGCTTACTACCAAGGGACTACAACGTGCATCAAGGCTTTTCTTACCTCTTTAAATGATAGATTTTGTGAGTGTATTGTCCCTTCTCGCCATCCTGTTCATAAGGCTCATTTTTTAAGACCTGAATTCCTTCCCCACCTCCTGTTTCGTTTTTGCTAGCTTCTGCCACAGAATAAAGTTGCCCAACTTGATACTGAAAAGGGAGAAGACAAATGTTAGCACCAAAGTTGGCCAAAACTTTTAACATGTTAAAAACAATTAGCTGTTTCCTCTGACAATTCAGTAGTACAAAAAAGGTTATCAGCAAATTAAAATGCATCATATAAAAGATATATAGTGAACTCTGACAACTTTTTTGCAACACATCTCTGCAACTCACAAACCCCAGGTCTACACTCAGGTTGTTCCACAGCAAACCAACACTTTGGTGCACATCATAACTTCATTTTTCCTGTCCCAAGAGCTAAATGTATTTGTTGTTTTTCGCTGCACCAAGAAATATCAATTCTGAGTTTACAGATTTTGGAGTGACCAATTTCCAGCTCTAAGCCTTCCCAATTCACACTTTCAACCAATTCAATGCTGCCCTTACAGGACCCAGGAACCCACACTATGGAACAAGTGTAATGCTTCCATCAGAAGCACGACCAACACCCTGGCATGACAGACACCCTATCGTGACTCTCTCTGAAATGTACTTCAGTGCCATTCAAATTGCTGACTTCAGATCTGGGAAGACAATTCCTACACCTGTGGCTCCAGGAAAAGGCTTGGAGTCCCTCAGTGCTGGATCAGCAGCCGAGTGCTGCCACAGGGCACAGTTGTATTGCTGGCAGTGGAATGCTCTGTGCTGCAATTGCTTCCTTGGAAATTCTTTGATCAGAACAGGGCTCACACCTGCGTCACTCATCTCTGTCAGCGCAGCAACAGCACAGGGAACGTCTGGACTCAGGCTGGTCACATTTCTGACACACAATCCCCTCCCACACCTCAGTCTGAATAAAGCAGGGAGGATCAGGACATACCTCTTGCACTGAGCAAGGTAAAACCACTCGGCTGAAAGAGGAAAAGAGAATATTCAGTAAAACGAATCATTAGGCTTCACCTGCAGATAACAGATGTAACACAGATGTTCAAGAAAGAAGTGTCAAAAGGAGCCAATTCAAGTTTTCTCTTCAGTAATCTCTGTGACAGGGAGGCTTTGGATATAACACAACAAACCCAAGTAAAGTTCAATGCCAGGTTACTAAAGGAAAAACAAGGGATGGAAAATGGTAGAAGCCGCATAAAAGAGCCAGGAAATCTGGGATCTACTTCCAGCTCTGTCATAATAACTTTGTGTTATGCTAAATCTGTTTATAAACTTTTGAACCTACACATTACCTTTACTACCACTGAGGCTACAGACACTGGACTTTGAAGTAGTGAGCAGCCGAAAGAGGGATAGACAAACAAACCAGCTTGTGTTTGGCTGGCCGGAGCCCCCACGGGAGAGATCCACCCAGTGGCGTGGAGCTCCCGGCGCCCCCACAACAGGCAACCGGGAGCAGGGAAGGGCTGCGGCCCCGCTCAGGGCCAGTCGCCACTGCCATCCGAGCTGCTTTCTAAGGAAAACGGGGAGCAATCACGCACAGCCCCGCCGCCTCCCCGCGCCGCGCCCCGCGGGATGGAGCTCGCGGAGCTGCCGGTGCGGGGCCGCGGCTCTCCCGCTGCGGGCAGGGAGCGCCCGCCACCGCCGGGCCGCGTCCCCGCCGTGCACAACGGCCTTTCCCGTGACGGCGGCACCGGCGCACGGAGGAGCGAAGCGGCCCCGCGCCCCGGAGGAAGCGGCGACCCCGGGGCCACACGGCAGGAGCGGTGCGGGCGGGCCCCGGCGGCGGCGGGCGGGGCAGACCCGGCGGGGCGCGGCCCGGGCGGGGCGGGGCGGCGGCGGGCGCGGTGGTGACGGCGGCGGCGGTGGCGGCGGCCCCGGTGGCGGCTCCCCCCAGCCCGGCCCCCCGGCGCTCCCCGCCGCCCCCACTCACAACTCCTTGATCAGCACCATCTTCCCGCCGCTCCGCGCACGCGCCGCTCCCGAGCCGGGCCCCGCCCGCGCCCGCGCGCCCAATCGCGCTCGCGCCTCGCCCGGAGGCGCGCACGCGCCGGGTGCCGCCAATCCGAGAGCGCGCAGCCCCCGCGAGCGCACACCTCACCCGTCAGCAGCCAATCAGAACGCACCGGGACTGCTCCGGTGCGCATGCACCCTCCCGCTCTTGCCGGCGGGGTGACGTCATCGTCGGGCGCCGTACACGGGGCCAGAGAGAGCGGAACCGGGGAGCGCAGACCGGGAGCGGAACCGGGGTCGGGGCCTGTCTGGGGCGCGGGGCCGGCGGCTCCGGGTACCGAGGCACTGTACGGCAGCAGGACGGACCCTCCGCACTGCCCGGCGGGCGGGAACGGCTGCTGCTAGTACCAGACACCCCGGGTTACCCGGTCCGCGGTGTCGGGCCCTCACGGACCGACGCCGTTGCCGAATGGGGTCACCCCCAGCACCGCGGGAAGTGAGAAGCTGCAGAGGCGATGAATTTCGGGGAGCCCGTTCCCGCTGTCACACCGAGCACCGCGCTGGCTCCGCCGGCCTTGGCACCGCCGCTGTTACCCTTCCTCCGCCTCCACACCGGGGGAATCTAAATTTCCCCTTATCTGTTTCAAGCAAAATCCTTTGCCCGCGGATCCCAGTTAACTCGGGACTGCCCCTGTATTGCCACGCAAATGAAACCACGCCAAATCTGTAGCAGACTGGGTTTCCGCGGCCAATGCCGCCCTCTTGTGAGACCGTTTCTTTTAGTCTCCATCGCAGCCACAAGAAGGACGACAGGGATTAATAATGACCTGATAACCTAACAAGGTTCAGCCCGGCTGAGACTTCGACCTTCAGCTGGCGTTATAAACTACAAAATGAAAGGAGTCTGCAGGTCTAAAAGTTCAGAAACATTGAAAAAAAGCTGAAATCAACCCCAAGTGGAGCCCTTCCAGGCTGTGAGGAACCTGGAAAACTGCTCCTGGAGGAGAGGAATTCCAGTGATGCTGGCCAGTGCAGGACAGTGTGACAGGGAGAAGTTCTACCGAGGCTCCCGAATGGGGGCAGAGGGGTGGGACCACCCAAGGCATGTTCTGTGTGTTGAAATTGGCTTTATCCTTGTTTACATATTGAAGTTATCCTGTAGCAACACGTTGCCCTAAGAACAAAGCAGCCAGGAAACATACTTCCACGCTTTGAGGTTCTCAAAAATTGTAATTCAAGGAAAACTACAGGATTTACTTAAAACAATGTATTCTAAATATATTGATTTGCTTTCTAGTTGCTAAGCATTAGCTTTCTTTTTTTTACCAGATGTTTTCCACAGCCACGCAGACTTTTGCTTTCCCTCTGTTTGAAATGCACAAACGTAAAAGCAGGTGAACTGGAAAGAAAGAAACCAACCACAGGCTCCACACTTGTGTTGCAGAGGTGCCTTTTTCCCAGAAGTGACACAGGACCCTCTCTGCAGCCTCCCTGGCTCCCCTTTCCCTGGAGAAGCCATCATCCCCCTCATTTCCTCTGCCAGGAGCCAGAACCAATGAGGCATTTACACAGCAGAAATCCAGATAAAATTCAGTGTTGCCAAACACTCCTTCCCCACATCAATGGCCGTAAGGAAAAGCCTCAGCAGGCTCTTCCTATGGACACACTTCCATGGAAGTCCTTGGATGATGACTCAGGCCATGAGGCGCAGCAGTGGTCAGGGCTGTGCTGGGGCACAGTTGGAGGGGACTGTAAATCTCTGTTTCCCAAAGCATTCAGGATTTTCCTTTATTTGGTTTTTCAAAATGCTGGCAGCGTGCAGTTCCTGCTGCTGCTCCTTCCCCATATGGACAGCATTTGTCTGGTGTTTGCTCAGTCCCCAAGCCTCTGTTTACAGCAGCATCCTGCCACACACGACAGTGTCACAAGTAGCCACATCTGCTGACCCCAGACCTGGCACAGACAACAACCACCCTTCCCCAACATCCTTCCAGATCAAGAGACTGAGGCACTGAGAGAACTCATGCTTTAATAGACACTGAAATCACAAAGAAGAAAAGGCCAAATGCCTTAGCAATTTCAATAAAAATATGAAAATCTTTTTACATGGTAAATTTCATAATATAAAAAGTTTAATGCTGTCTGGAAACAGAGTTTTAATTTACAAAGAAAGTCCACAGAGGCCAAACATGGCTAACACTGCACACAGGGAGAGCGAGTGCTGAAGGGCTGCTGCTGGGAAGCCTCTGCTGACCATCCTCTCTGGGTCACCGTCTCCAGCGCTCTTCTGCAGCTGAGGGGACGAGTGACCACACACACACGTGCAGCCCTGCTGGGCAGCATGGCAATGCAATGAACCAGAAACTGCTCAAACCCATTATCACCATCCAGCTGAAACTACCAGTGCTTCCTAACAGATTCACAGACACCTCTGTGCCCCTGGATCTGTTCTGCAACTTGGAAGAGATGTTCACAGAACGAGCTTGCCCTAATGAAAGAAAATATGGCCTAGAGTGATATGCACAGGTGTAGCACCCCCTCAATGCTTTTTCCTTGTTTCAGTAAGGTATGATTAAACAGAAGGAAAACCAATATCAGGCCAGAGGTACAGGCTAACCAACAAAATCAAATTAAACTAGATTTTTATCACAGGGGTTGTTTACTGTTCCCATTTAGTTGGAGCTAAAGACAGTCAATAAAAAAAATCTGAAATCTCACGCAGTAAAACGTACAGGGCAAAACCAAAACATTCTATGGCCTTGGGGAATAGTTGCATGTGGCAGGTTTAACGTGAAAGTGGTTAATACCTAATTGTTATTGCTCACTGTATTACGCAGTGTTGTCACTTGTACCATGCACAAATACAACAACGACAAATGCATTAAACCCACAAGAAGGAATTCTAATAGCAAATGGAGAACATGTGATTTTCATTTCCTGAATTTCTCCACGTATTGGGCAAACCTGTTAAAACTCTTTATTTCCTCACAAAGGGGTGGTTTCTCATTCAGGAGGTGGAGGAGTGAGGGACAAGGTGTGCAGTGTCTCCCAGCCACGAGTAAGCATGCACTTCATGGCTCCTGGCAAGCCAATGGAAGTGACCTGCGCCAAGTCAACGGAGACCTATTTCCCAAAAGACTTGTTCTAGTGACACTCACCTTCCATATTTATACAACATCAAATTCCCCAAATACTGAACTTTCTCTACATCCAAACCCTTCCCTGTTTCTAATGCTCCCCCCTCCTTAAAAACAACAACAGAAGAACAACTGCCCCACACCCCCCACCCCAATTTAGCTCTGTCTGAAAGCTTTAAGCCAGCATGAAACCTGCTGGAGCACAGAAATGGGTTGTAACAAAATGGCAGCATAGAATTTCTACGAGTTAAAAGATCCTTTAGTTATGGAAGTAAACTACAACGAAGAGGCCTATTTCTGGCGTGTTATGCAGCACTATAGGGAGTATTTGCTGTTGCTATAAACAAAAAGCTGCCCACTTCCATCCTGGGTGTTCCTGGGATGTCGTTTCAAAAAGTTTATGCTGGTTAGAAACAGAGCAGGTCACATGAAGTCTCTCAGCAGTCCTGTGACCATAGCAAGTGGCATGATCAACAGCATCACTGTCTCCACAAGGGGCAGATGCTGTGCTGACTCATTTTGGCCCACTATTCTAAGTTTTTCTGCCAAATGACAAGAAGATGATGTTTAGCACCAAACCATCACAGGAAGATGTCATGTACAGACATATAACTTGCATCATAATGAGTTGAACAGATTTACTCAACTGTTCTGCTACATTGTGTACGAGTAGGTAACTACTCTTTCTGCACTGAAAACTTTGGTGATCCCCCCTCCTTTGTTAGCTGGCTCTAACAACCCAGCCCAGTATCCTTTGCCTTTAGTACTTGTGTTGATTTCTTGTGATGATAAAAAGGATGAAACCAGCAGACTCCAGAATATTCTCACAGCATGCATCTGATTATGCCCTGTAAGCTGAGCCTAAGCATTTTCATGTTTCCGTATCAGAACTGCATTCTCTGCCCTGCTATCATGCTTTTCCTCCAAGATCCCTAAGAAAATCACAAATTATCAGATCCATGTTTACAACAAGAGCATCCAGCCATGCTAAGTACAATTCTCTGCATTAGCAACGTACCTCTGGTACGTCCACAGAGCTGCCTGCACTCTCCAGTCAGCTGCAAGACTGGAAGTTGACTTAAGATCCAGCTAAAACTCAGGGCCTAATGAATTCAGCCTCACAACACCTCTGTGAGGTAGGTAGGTAAGTATTACTATCCCCATTTAGATAGAAAGGGAAGACGAGGCACGGAGAGGTGAAGTGATTAGCCTTCAGTCACTCAGCCAATTCTGGGAGTGCAGAATAGACACCAAGAACCTTGGTGATACAGTGCTCTGACTTCACAGCCTGTGAATAACTTGCGTGGATCTGAGCTCACGTGGCGGGGTCGATGCTGCCACAAGCCCACGGCTTCAGTGCATGTAAATGATCACTGGGATCCTGATCACGTCACTGCATTCCACAGCCACTTAGAAACCATCTCCAGCCTGCCCCTAACTCCTAAACCCCACCTAGCCTAGGGATGCTGACTGTACATATTGCCCTGGGGGAGCCCTTGGCCCCCTTTCCTCCACATGTCAGAGGGCACTCAGGTTCTGCATCCAGCCCCTCCGCTTGCTGCCTCTCCTTCTGGCTCCAGCTGTGCCAACAGCTGCTTACACTGGCACACCTGCTCCAAATGAAACTTGTTTCCACACCTGCTCCAAAGGAAACCTGCCTCCACAGCATGGAAAAGGTTCACAGACCTGCACTGAGCCCTGGCAATGATTTAGCAGGATCAAAGAGGGATTTTTTTTGGTCAGGTGATGTCTGAATCATACACACTGATGTCACATTCTTGCCTGCTGTGGAACAGCAAAATAATGTTCTGAGCTGTGGCATCTGTAATCTTTTCCTGTGCTCACTGAGCAGACAGAGGTGTAAGTACTGCCCAAAACTTGCCAGGATAAGAAGTTCACAATGT